TGTCCTCATCTGAATTCAGCTTGAGCCTCTGGCATTCCCTGTCAATGTACTATTGCAGCCATTTTTGAATTATCTTTAGCAGAAGTTTACTTGGATGCTATATTAATGGTATTGTCTAATGATTTCTACATTCCATTGGATCATCTCTCTTTGGAATGGGCACATATATGATGTCTTCCAATTAGTTGGCCAGGTAGCTATCTTCCAAATACATGGTATTATAATCTCAAATATTTAAAAAATATATATTTTCAATTAAAAAAACAAACACTTGAGCTTATTGGTGTTGTTTTAAGTGCCGTCAAGTAGGTTTCTACTTACAGCAACCCTGTAAAGGATTTCCAAGGAGTGACTGATGAGTTTAAACTACTGACATTGCAGTTCAAACTGACCTTGCAGTCCAGTGCATTGTCCTGTATATCTGTTGATATCTATACATATATTTTTGTTGTTCTTATGTGCTATCAAGTGAATTTCTACTTACAGCGATCCTATACAGGGTTTCTGCAGAACATCTTGTGGGTTTGAACCTGTCAACCTTGTGGTTCACTGTCCAGTGCTTATCCGCTTATCCTGCAGCACCACACCAGGAGTATATATATGTATTGTTGTTGTTAGATTGTTGCTAGGTTCCAAAGAGCAGCTGGTGTTTGAACCGCCAACCTTGCTGTTCAAACTGACCTTGCGGTCCAGTGCATTATCATACCAGAACTGTCTCTCTGTCTCTTTTTGCTGTTAGTGACGTCGAGTCAATTATGACTCATAGCAACCCTGTACAAAGTTTCTGAGGAGTAGCTGGAAGGTTTGAACCACCAATTTGTGGTTTGCAGTCCAGTGCTTAATCCTACAGCACCACACCAGGAATCATATATATAAATGAATTGCTTTGCCACGTAGTGAAGTCCTTAATGCAGTAAGATACCTTAAGGTTTAAATTATAAGAGTTAATATATGCATTTAAGTTTTGTAATGTGCTCTTTAATACTATGAAGCCCAGGTCTCCCACACAGAAGGCAAGAATTGCTATAATGGACTGCCACTTCTCCCTAAAGGTTGTTGCTGTTAAATGCGGTACTGACTTGGGTTTCCAAGGAGCAGCTGGTGGGTTTGAACTGCCGGTCTTGTGGTTTATAGTCGAGAGCTGATCCTACAGCACCACACTAGGAATCCGAGCGAAAAGTTCCAAGGAAAGAAGAACAAAACAAAACAGGGAAGTGGAATAGAAAGTATCATAGAAACCTCACTAACATAGTCTGTAAAAACCTGTAGAGTGGAAGTGAGGGACTGAGTGAAGCTGACAGAGCATTCCAGAATAGCAAGCCCATGGCTTTGAGGCTGGATAAAATATATGTGGGAGACCTGGGTTTGATTCCTGGCCAGTGCCTCTGAGGCACTGATACAGCTTGTCTGTCAGTGGAATCTTGAGTGTTACTAGCATGTTGAACACGTTTCAGAGGAGCTTCCAGACTAAGACTAAGTCAAGTAATACAAGGCCATTGAGTTTGACATTAAAAAAGAAGCAGTGCATTTAGAAAGAGCAGAAAACATTGCATTTGTAAAGAATGAATGGATGTTCAATGTAAATAAGATATTGTGATTACTAAATTGCACCTACTCCTCATTCCAACATTTAGCATTTACAACTGTAGTAAAACATCTATCAGACAATTTTACACATTAACAAGATATGTTTGGCAGCAATGAGCATCAAGATGTGCTGGCTGTGATGGTTAAGGTTATGTGTCAACTTGGTTGAGCCATGATTCTTAGTGGTTTGGTGGTTCATGTAATTTGTCAGTTATATTATGATGTATTTATTTTCCACTTTGTGATCTGTTGTGGTCATCCTCCAATTTTTCAGAAATGCTGATTTTCATGTAATGACCTGATCTTTGGAACTGACCAGTTGATAGTGAGGAGTGGGCATGTATACAGTCTTTAGAATACATTATATAGCTACTGAATGTTCTTCTTGTTGTATGACTGTGAGCTGCCAAGATATAAGTTATATCATATATATACACATATACATGATATGAAGTTGATTTTAATGTTTGTGGAATGCTTTAACCTTTACACACTGCTTTCAAGTCCTATTTGTTGTTTAAAACCACAGGGTAGTATAGGGAGTATGGTATTACAGCCTTCAAGTCCGCCTTTCACCTGAGGAAATGTTGAGACTTGAGTAAATGACTTTCCTAAGGTCTTGTGCATGGACCATAGGAAAGCTGGTTACCCATTTGGAACTGCTAGAAATTCAAGCTGGATTCAGAAAAATTCAAGCTGGATTCAGAAACTAGTGATATCACTGGTGACATAAGATAGATCTTGGCTGAATTCAGAGAATGCCAGAAATGTTTACTTGTGCTTCTTTGACTATGCAAAGATATTCAACTGTGTGGATCATGACAAACCATGGATAACATTGAGAAGAGTAGGTTCCCAGAACACTTAACTGTGCTCATGAGGAACCTTTACATAGTCTAAGAGACAGTTGTTCAAACAGAACAAGGTGATACTGAGTAAGTTAAAAATTAGGAAAGGTGTACACCAGTGTTTTATCCTTTCACCATACTTAATTTGCATGCTGAACAAGTAATCCTTGAAGCTGGATTATGGAAGAAGAATTTGGCATCAGGACTGAAGGAAGACCCTTTAACAACCTGTGATATGCAGATGATACAACCTTGCTTGCTGGAAGTGCAGAGGACTTAAAATACTGATGAAGATCAAAGAGCACAGTCTTTGAGTATGGGGTGTAGCTCAATGTAAAGAAAATGAAAATCCTCACAATAAATAAAATCATGATAAATAGTGAAAAGATTGAAGTTGTCAAAGACTTCATTTGTTTGGATCATCACTCATGGAGACACCAGTCAAGAAATCAAATGACGTGTTGCATTCTGCAAATCTTCTGCACAAGACCTTTAAAGAGCCAATTCTTGATATTTTCAATTGCCTCATATTGAAAGTTGGACAGAAAATAAACGCATTTGTGTTTTGGTGTTGGAGAAGAATATTAAAAGTATCATGGACTTCCTGAGAAAGAATTAAATCTTTGTTGGAAGAACTATATATAGCCAGAATGCTCCTTAGAAGCTAGAATGTTGAGACTGTCTCAGATACTTTGGACATGTTATCAGGAGGGACTCATGCTTGGAGAAAGACATCATGCTTGGTAAAGTGGAGTGTCAGTGAAAATGAGGAAGATCCCGAATTAGATGGATTGGCACAGTGGCAGAAGCAATGGCCTCAAACATAATAATTGTGAGGATGATACATGACTGGGCAGTGTTTCATTCTATTGTATACAAGGTCATTAACGAATCGAATCGGAACTGATTCAATGGCACCTAACAACAGCAACAATAGCAGAAGTATTTAGAAGTATTGGAATAAAGCAAAAAATACATCTTTGACTTACAGTTCATTGTTACTGTATTGAAGTATCTATAGATATCTGATGTTTTACTATGTATTTGTATTTGTAAGCTCATTATATCATTTAGAAAAAAGGCGTCACAAAAATAAACTGTATTAGTGATACCACACTTGGTAGGCAAGAAAATGACAAGGAAACTGGACAGAAATAATTGGTGCATTATTTAAAGGTTAAATTTGTTCAGTTAATAAAGTTTTATGGATGCAAATAATATTGTTGTTGTGTATCTCTGAGTCAGTTTCAACTTAGTGATTCTATATGGCTGAGTAGAACTGTCCCAAAGGGATTCCTAGGCTATAGTCTTTATGGGATCCTATCATTGGCTATTTTATCCTGCAGAGTAGCTGATGAGTTTGAAATGCTGACCTTTCAGTTAGCAGTCAGGAGCTTACCCATTTTACCACCATAGCTACTTATATGAAGGAGCTTCAAAAAGTTCATGGAAAAATTCCATTATCTTTCCATTTCATTTTTCCATGAATTGTTTGAAGCCCCTTTGTACTATTATTTAATTCACATGAATTTTTAGTGTGTTTTCAGGTGATGACTGTGAACAGGGATGTCCTTCTACCCCAACTGTAATGCAACTAAAATAAATATTGTGACTCCTACTTTGATAAGAAAATTTCTGTCCTATTCCTTGGATTAGAGCATTGGTGGTGCTATAGGATAAGCACTGGACTTCTAGTCCAAGGTCTGTAGTTTAGACCCACCAGTGGATCTCTGGAGAAAGATGAAGCTTTCTGCTTCCATAAAGACTTACAGCCTTGGAAACCGTAGACAGGGTTACTATGATTCGGACCTGACTTGAGGGCACCTAACAACACCACCTTGAATTATATCTGTATATTTTATATGAAGCAGTAGTTGAACATGTCATGATCATTTCACCATTAAGCAGTCTACCTACTAAATAGTAACTGCTACAGAAACCCTATCACAGCAGTGTAGTCCATCAACTCAGGAATTTTCTGAGTTCTATTTGTTTAATATAAAGCAGTCATTGTGTGTGTAGTGTTCAAAATAAGTTATTCAGTAGTATAAGGGTATTATTGCTAAGTGGGGAGAATATCTTATAAGAGCATATAGATTTTTGTTGTTTAGTTTATGGCTTTACAAGTAAATATTGTTGTTAAGTGGTGTCGAGTTGGTTCCAACTCCGCAACCCCATGTAGGGTTTCCAAGGTTTTATCTTGAAGGGAGCAGAAAGCCTCATCTTTCTCCTGTGCATTGACTGGTGGACTTGAACTGTGGACTTTATGGTTCTCAGTTCAGTACTTTTCAGATGGTGTCATTGTGCTCCCACAACTTAAGTACAACCTCTGATAAAATTTACAGTTGACATTAGCTGACCTATTAGGGGATGTGACTACTTAATTTATCTAACCATGTATATTTCAGTAGGCATTGAGTGAGAATTTAGGAAAACAAGTTTTATGTTTGCTAATAGAAGTCCATTTTTTCTAAGAGTGTCATCTTAAAATTGATATAATTCCAAATTCCTTGGGGAAAGTATCTCCTAATTTGATAAAATTCACACAGACCATTGTTTTTACAGGTTCCTGAAGGTTTGTGGATCTGAATTAGTACGCCTTGAATTATCTTGCAGCCACTTCCTTAATGAAACTTGCTTGGAGGTTATTTCTGAGATGTGTCCAAATCTACAGGACTTAAATCTCTCATCTTGTGATAAATTACCACCTCAAGCTTTCAACCATGTTGCCAAATTATGTGGCCTTAAACGACTTGTTCTCTATCGTACAAAAGTAGAGGTAAGAATTGTTGTTAGTTGCTGTGGAGCTGATATTATCTCATGTGTAATTCATCATTCATATCTTTTCTAGTTTAGCAGAACATTTATTTGCCTTTTCTTGCTCATTATTATGTGATTTTAAGTTTTTAAATAGATTTAAATTTCTTTTGCTGTATAGATACTCCAAAGTCATTAGAGTTGATTCAGTCATTCCCAAGTTATTACGAGTCTATTATGTTTGTTTTTTAATTATAAGGAGACGTTCTCTTAAATTTTTGTGATGCTACTCATGCTTTTATGTAAAGAAACAAGCAATGGGCTGTGAGCTGAATCATGGCAGGGACTAAGTTAGAGAAAGAGGTAGAAGGATGGTATGCAAGAGGACATTTGCATGGCGAGAGAAGAAGCAAAGTGGAATTTATCCAAGATCAGATTGAGGAGTTAAAATTCCTGACAACATACTGCAGGGAATCTCATAATATAAAAATGCCCTCATGCTATATACATGTGTACCTGCGTTTTATCACCTATTTTTAGAACACCTGTCCCTATCAGTTTAGTACCTGACTCTTCAGTGCCTATGTAATGTGTCTTTACATGCTATACCATAATGTTTGGCCATTCCCTAGGTGATCAATGTTAGGTTTTTCCAGTTGTTTTCCTTTTGCAGATTACCATACAATAACATTCTTCTGCATATAGCTGTACATGTGTATGCCAATCCTAGCAGTGATATTGCTGGAGTGAAGGCTATGTCTGTCTCCTGCCTCCCTCCACCATACCCCCCCACTCCAACCCCATTGTGGTTACCTTATATTCCATTAGTTCTTCACTCCATTTAAGATAGTCTATTTTATCCAGTAATCTACCTGACCTTCCACATATACACACCTTTTTGTATGTGTCTGGGATCCTGTAATAAACATCTACTTTCTCTCATATACTTGGCTTCATCTGTTCCAGTTGTTGTCCTCTGTATGTAGGTTTGTTTTACTCACTGCGCCCAAAGAAGTGGGGGCAAGTTGCACTTGACCATAATCAAACAAGACACCGGCACAAGTTGACTTTAAAGCACAAGCAGCTTATTGGTAGAGAACGAGTCTGTCTCTGCAGAGTGGAGAAGACCCAGGCGGGGTCTTGGATCTGCATTTTAATGTGTCTGCTCTATCATAATATAATAAAAGGGAGCAGTATTCATTTAATTCCTAGTAAAGGGTCAGAGGTTTCTGGAAATGGCGCACTACCCCTTTCTGTACTTAGTTGGTCCTTGCTAGAGGTACTGTGGAGCTGAGGGCTGTGCGATTTAATGTGCTAATAAAGCACAAGTGACTTAAAGGTTTAGATAAAGTTCTTTATTGTTGGCTGTAGTAATTTAAGGTCCTTGTGCTCCTTTGTTGTTGACTACACCTAGTGCTATTTTCTCTACTATGGTCCCAAATCCTGCTTTCATTCTCTTTGCCCCTAGACTGTCCCTATCACAAACATGTTGATTTTCTTTATATTTCTTGAACCTTCTGAGGTGGTCCCAACTCAGGACTTTTTACACTTGCTTTTCTGCCTGTCTATAACATTACCAGCTCATTGTATGGCAGTCCTCTTCTCAGCCCAGTGTTCACTTAAAAATTTTGTTTTTCAGAGATGGCTTCTTAGATACTCATAAAAAGTGGTACCCCTTTGAGTTTGTTTCTTTCACATCACTGAGATTTCTTTCTTTGTTAACATCCTTATCAGACTCTGAAATCACCTTATTTTCTTTCTCATTTTATCCTGCTCCCCAATGTCAAATGAAAGTTTCATGATAGTGGGAGCCGTCATATAGTCCCAGCATCTAAAATTCTATTCGGTAAAGATTATCCATTCAATAAATATGTGTTAAATGAATGAATAAAAATGACCTAAGTACTTTTTCAAAATGATATACTAATTACTTTCACACTCGAGTAGACCCTTGCCAGTTTTGAATTTAACCTTGGTCATTTTACGTAACCTCTTAGTATCTCAGTTTCCTCGTATCTAAAATTTCTGTTGGTAGGTTCCCTCACGTCGGTTCTGACTCATAATGACACTATGCACAACAAAATGAAACACTGCCTGGTCCTGTGCCAACCTCACAATTGTCATGTTTGAATCTGTTGTTCATGCCACTGTGTCAGTCCATTTTGTTGGAGGTCTTCCTCTTTTATGCTGACCCTCAACTTTACCAAGTATGATGTACTTTTCTAGGGATTGGTCCCTCCTGACAACATGTCTAAAGTACAAAAGATAAAGTCTCTCCATTCTCACTTCTAAGGAGCATTCTGGTTGTATTTCTTCCAAAACCAGATTTGTTCATTCTTCTGGCTGTCTATCGTACTTTGAGTATTCTTCAACACCATAATTCAAATGCATTGATTCTTCTTTGATAAAATAGGGATAATAGAAATACAAGTCTCATAGAGTCACTGTGAGAATTAGTTGTGTATAAAGTACTTAGTGGCTGGAGCATAGAAACTCAATAAACGTGAACTTCTAATAGAAGCCATAGTAGAAGTATCATTACCACTGTCATCAGAGCAATTTTGTAGTATGCTTTATTATCTTTGAGGAAAGTCTCCCCTCACTATTCTTTCTAGATATATTTTATAAATGTTTGTATATTTATTTTTCTAGATATCTTTCAACAGTTTGTCCAGTTTCTCAAAAATATTCCATTATATTCACTATAATTCATTTTGATTTCCAATAAGTCTTAATAATAAGCTTCTTAGAGTCCTGGTGTGGCACTGTAGGATACGCAATGGTCTGCTAACCACAAGGTTGGTGATCCTAACCCATCAGCCTCTCCTCTGAAACCCTTTACAGAGTACCTATCTATAAGTCAGAACCAATTTGACAGAATGTAACAACAATAACAAGTCTGGTTTTACTTACAAGAAAATGTTATAGTTTTCTTCATATAGATCTTTTTTCTGGTTAAATTTATTTTGTTTTCATCATTTTCTTTTCCATTCAATTTTAATTGGTTATTGTAACTATAAAGGAAAATGTGATTGGTTTCTGTATATTTATCTTGTATCTACTTACCTTATTCAATTCTTATAATCTTTAATATTTTTGGCTTTGATCTATTGGATTTTGTAATATATATGTAATTTTGCATAAACATAGTTGCTCTTTCTTTTCCAATATTTATACTGTTACTGCGGTAGGTAGAACTTCATCAATAATGTGGGATAATAGAGTCACAGAAGACATACCAGACTAATTTAGTGAGGATATGTATATTTTAACTCTTTATTGGGACTTGGTTGAAGGTTTACAGAGAAAATCAGGTTTTCATTCAACAATTCATACACATTTTGGTTCATGTCATTAATTGCAGTCCCTAAAAGGTAGCATCACTCATTCCACTTTTACTCTATATTTCCTGTTTCCATTTCTCCTTTCCTAGCCCTTCCTGCCTTCTGAAGTTTGTCCTTAGGCAATGCTGCTCTTTTGGTCTTGAAAGGTTGATGGTTTTAAGGAGTGTCTACCTTCCTAGTGGTAGTTTTCACCTTACAGGCATGTACATTATTTGTCAGAAAATTGAGCCATGGTGGTGAGTACAGTTCCAGGCCTGAAGGGTAACTAAGTGCCATAGTTTTGGAGGTTCCACCGATGAGAATGTCTTTAATTTTTTATATTCAAGCAGCAAATGAGTGCCTATCATGTGCCAAGCACTGATCTGGCCACTGAGTCTTCAGTAATAGACTTACCAGGTCCTCGTGGACCTTCTATATTTATATGGTATTTATTGTTGCTTTCTGATAGATAGTCTTTATCATGGCTATATGATAAAAATATTTTATCAAAAATGTGTACTATATTGTATTAACCCTCTATGAATGTACTTACTTCTTTTCTTGTATTCATTTATATATTGCCATATTAAACAGTCTTTGGATTCATGGAATAATCGAATTTACCAGGATCTTTTCAATTTAATGTATAACTGGGTTTGAAATCTTAATATTTTAGAAGCAGATTAACAGGGTTTAATCTTTTAACTCTACTATTTACTAATTGTGTTACTTTGAGGAAGTTTCTTAGCTCTGCTTCAACGTACTCTTCTATAAAATTTGGATAATAATAATGTACATCTTAAAGTGTTATTTCAGTTTGACAAAATGAATTGGTAAACTTTTCCATCTTTTTCTTTAATCTGGAATAATATTTATAAATGGAAATTTTCTGCAGATAGAATTTATTTTCAAAACTATTCGGGCTATAGCCTTTATTTAGTGATAGATTAACGTAGATACATTTTTAAAATATAGAAGACTGAAAATATCCCAGTGTGAGAGTTTCTGTTTAATACAGTACTCCTGATTTTGGGCAAAATGCTTAGCTGTAGTATAACGTACAAGCACAGTAGTTCTGTAGTACAAGGGTAGACCGTAAACCGCAAGGTCAGTGGTTCAAGCTTACCAGCCACTCTACACGAGAAAGATGAGGCTTTCTGCTACCACAAAGATTTTAAAAGCCTTAGAAACTCACTATGAATGAGTTCTAGTTCTGACCATGAATAAGCTTTACTGATCTAGGTTAAGTGACATAATCTTTACATTTTCCTTTAAATTTACAAAATAAAGAGTTTAACATATATACCCAAGTTCTTTATTTGTAAAATGAGAAAACTATCCCTGAATGCTTACTTAAAAATATGTCAACTCGTTTTTGCATTGGCCTATGGTGTAATAATCCTTTACTGTTTTATTGCCCTGTGTATGATAAAACCTGACAAATACTTTGCAGTATAATGCTTCATTTAAATAAAAATTTCTGATTAACTTTCAGAAACAGTAAAAGGAGCTTCACAAAGTTCTTGGAAAATGGAATTAAAAGCTAATGCAGGTTTTCCATGAACTTCTTGAAAAACAGCCTTGTATTGCATACTTGGAGTCCTGGTGTGGCGCTGTGGGTTAATGCGCCAGACTGCAAAGCTGTTTGAACTGCAAGGTCGGTGGTTCAAGCTCACCAGTCACTCCTCGGAAACCCTAT